AAGATCCCACAGAGCTGGACTTGTATGGTGGACAAAGGTTCAGAGGCCCAGCACCCTCAGGGTGCCGTGCAGTGGTAACAGCACAGTGTACATTGGGGAATCAGGCCATCTTCCTGGGGTCTTACCTTAAACAGGCAATCGATGGGTGTTGATGTCATCTGGGATAGTAAGTTCATCCTCTGCTTGAGAAACAGTCTGTCACCAACTCCCTCGGAGTCCTGTGGTCATCACACATCACAGACCCTGTCACAGACCCTTCCCAGAAAGGGCCCAGGCACAAGCCCCGACATTCAACCCAGGAATGGCCTTCGGGGCTCTCCCCAACCCAGATCTGCTCTCTGAGATGAAGCGCAGATCCGCCTCAGCGCAGAGAAGGAACGAAGGGAGGTGAGCTCTGAAGATTGTGGCCTGGGGCAGCAAGGCCACAGGGTGAGGACAGTCATCTACAGGAGTGGAATGTGCCATATACACGCCACCATCCTCCAGACGGAAGACTGGCTTGGCCTGGCCTCCGCCCCTCACACTTCCCTCCCATTGCCCGAATGGCCTGACGCTGCCACTTTGACCAGGGCTGTGGACAGTACCGCCAGACACACTAATTTCTACTCCCTTGTGCCAAGCAGCAAGAGAAGTCTTGTTTTGTGACCGTGCCCATGAAAACGTCAGCCTATTCACTGGGAGGAAATCTAGGCAGACACAGGGGAACTCGACAGATCTCTCAGTTCCAATCACTCATTGCATATCAAGAAGTCACCAAAATTAGTATCATCAGATCCTCCCAGGAAAGGGAATGCCTACCTGCTTATCTGGACAACAAATACCTAGAAATCTGGGACTGAGGAGATGGCTCAGGGGGTAAGAATGCTTGCTGCTCTTCCGGAGGACCCGAGTTCCGTTCCCAGCACCCACATCCGGTGGCTCACAACTCCCTGTAACTCTAGCTGTAGGGAATCTGGCGCCCTCTCTGGCCTCCACAGGCACTTACATGTGTATGCACACACATAAACATATGCACACATACACATATTTATACATACATATGAATAAAACTTAAACCTAAGAAAGCCTAGAAATTTACACTTTACCATTTATTATAGTTATTGGTGACTGTTACTCCCTGACTGTAGGGCAGCTGAACCTCTGTACATGTGGTAGTGGTAGTATCTGAACTGAGATGTTCAGTGTTGTGCTCTGTTTCACTGTGGGCTTGTTTTGTTTTGCACTGCCCGGGCCTTGTACTAGCAAAAGCCCTGTCACAGAGAGATGACCCCAACCTCTCAATGCAAAATTTGAAGTAAAGTGATCACCACTGAGTCACACCTATAGCCCTCACTGGTAGAGTCTAGGCAGGGGCTCTACCGCTGAGCCACACCCCAGCCCCTCACTGGAGGATTCTAGGCAGGGGCTCCACCACTGAGCCACACTCCTAGCCACTCACTGGTAGAGTCTAGGCAGGGGCTCGACTGCGGAGCCACACCCCCAGTCTTGTGCTTATTTTACAAAATCACTCCTACCACAATGCTTCCATGCTTACTCGGGCCCCTGGAACCAAATGGCACAATGACAAATGAACTCCTCCACACAGAGTCTTGGTTGGAGGTGAGGGAAATGCCCCTCCACAGGTGATGCTGGAAACTCACAGGCCTCTGGCAACATGGTGGGACAAAGTTCTTTCTTCCTCTGCCTAGGCTATAGATAAAGCCAACAGTGCCTCAGGGGAAGAATCATTTCTAAGGTCCCCTCCCAAGCGTCATCCCTCCTGTCTGCCCACCCCCAGTGAAGACTACCTAAAGTGACACACAAATCCTGCCAGCACCTCAGAAGGAACCGTTTCTGTCCCCAACTGCCTCATCCTATATAAAGCTCCAGCAATCTGCTTTGTACGGTGACTGACAGCTGAGTAGCCTAGGGCCAGAGAGACATCAAAGGCAACATGTCAGACAGGGCTCTCTGCTCAAGCCTAGGGTGTTTCCTGGGGGGCAGTGCTGAAAGGTGGCGCCCCCAGGACTAAACCTAGAGGGAAGGACAAGCACTCAGAGAAGCTGTGACCCCAGAGGTTCATGGGAAATGAGCAGACACTTATTAGGAGCTCAGGGCCAGGCATGGTCAGCATCTCATCAGGAGGACTAGACGCTGAAGTCCAGCTTCAGTCGAGAAATCTGCCCTCCACAAACAAGGGTTCGGGACGTGGCTCCAAAGAGCCTGGCATGCCTAAGGACACAAGTTCCACCCCTGGCATCTCCTTTCCAAAAACAAAACACTAACAAGAAAGCGAAGTTGACCAGGAGTGAGGAATAAAGAGGCAGGGAAATAAAATAATTTAAATATCTAGGACTGGAGAGACGACCCAGTGGTTCAGGGTACTCGCTGCTCTTCCAGAGGACCTGAGTTTGGTTCCCAGCACCCACATCAAGGGGCACCGAACTGCCTGTAACTCCAGTTCCAGGGGATCCAGCACCCTCTTCTGCCTCTTCAGAAACCTGCACGCACTGAGCAGACACAGACACAGGCACACGTAAATAAAAACTTTAAAAATGAAGTAGGAAACAGATCCATTTATTCCAAGCTCTCTGCCTGGATCCTGATGACGTCACTGCAGTCCTTGTTTCTGGAAAGCTGATGTCTCCATCAGGGGACATCCTATGGGAGACTGCGGCCAGCTCGAGTTTCAGGACCCTCTGGAGAGAAAATTCTCGTGAAACTATGTGACGCGGAGCTGACGGTGAAACCAGTTCAACTGATGGACATGCAGAAGCCTTGCCTGCCATGTGAAGATGCACACAGGCTCTCTCCCCAGGGAAGTGGCATCACGGCATCACTGCGGGCTTCACACATTCCTACTCAGGCTCCATGACCTAAAACCTGGGCTGCAGTAAAAGTCGAGTCTGTACTTACAGAGTCCCATGTGGTGCCACAAAAGACAGACACCCAGTACTGACTGGCTCGACAGGCCAAGCAAGGTAAAGATGCAGGGCGTCTGTCAGGCCTGACTTGCTCAGTACCTGGGGGACAGTGTGTGTGTGTGTGTTTTGTTTTGTTTTTTTGGTACAGGTTTTACCATGTGTAGCCCAGGCTGAACTCAAACTCACTGTCCCCTCTGCTTATTCTCCTTATCTTTCTTTTTCCTGTGTCTTCTGATACCATGTCTCACAGTGTAGCCCATGCTGACATGGAACTCACCATGTGATTAGGTCAGCCTCAAACTCACATCCATCCTCCTGCCTCAGCTTCCTAAGCACTGGGAATTACAGCCATGGACCACAACCACACCTGCTCACTCTTCATTTTTTGACTTCAGCATGGAGATGTTTTTGAGTCCTACTAAGTTTTAGCGTTTATCCCTCACCACGTAGTAAAACAGGGCCAGTGGTGAAATCTTGGCTTCAGACTCTCATAACTTACATAGGAACAGTACCAGTCTCTCTTACCGAAGCTCATCAACCAACCAAGGCAGCAATAACAAGGCCATGAGCCCTCAGACGGCACACATCAGTGATCATTTCCTGCCTATCACCCCCACGACATCCAGATTGGCCGTATCTGGTTTCCTTTCCCATACATGGCTTCTTTAGGTGACAGGGTTAATGAAGCAGGATATTGACGGTGTAAATCCCACTGTTTACACAGCAGCTTCCGCAACCAATTAGGGCTCAACAACCGGTTCCTTGAATGGTTCTCAAACCTCAGAACAGTCTTGGCAGACTGTGACAGAACCCCCATCCATCCCCTCAACCCCAACTCTCTCTAGTTCTTTACCAAAGGTTCCCCGATGGCCCCGAGGAAGGGCGGGTTGGCAGGGAGGACTTACAGGCGGCTTCGTAGAGAGACTTCCTTGGCGGATGTATTCAATGGCAGCCTCGACTGAGGTCAGGCAGTAACCCAGCTCGTCTTTGGCCGAGCTGCTGAATCTGAAGTTTTTGATGTAACTCAAATTTGCCATCCTGACCAAAAGAAGAAAAAGCGGGTTATCGTTGTATAATTAACACTTAAAAACAAAAAAATGCTATTGACTTGGATGGACAACTAACGATCTCCATCAAGTCTATCCGCTAGGGTAGGGGTGGCGGTAGAATGTCTGGTAGCCCCTTCACCCCACTGTAGATATGTATACAATGAGGACGAGAAAAACTACTTATGAC